TCCAGTTCATTGTCTTCTAATCCTTTTAACTGGAATTTTCTTTCCAAAAAATTTCTAAAGCCAATTTTTTTAAAACAAAATTTTTTTTTTTTATAACATTTGCAATTTGATTCATCTTCAAAAAATAATTTCAAATCCTGGACTGCTTCAGATACTAATTCATTTGGTTCATATGCTTCTAATCCTAAATCATATAATTCATCTGGTAAAATTGAATTTTCAGGTGATAATTCCATGCCATTTTCTAGATTTAAATTACTTGTGATATTACTATGAATTAAATCTACAGATGATTGATTTAAATTTGAAAACATGTTATAATTATAAATGGTAAATTTTTTAATAAATAAGGTTTAGGTTTTATTTCAGATGGTTTATACTGCGAGTGTGTAAATTCAATTACAGCTTGGGTTGTGTCCAATAAAATATATAAGATAAAATAAAAGTTCCAATATATAAATCTCCCTATCTTCGCACACAGCTAAGGGTTCTCAAATTCCCAGCCTCTATCTTCGCACACAGCTAAGAGCCTACTCAAATCTCTCTCTCTATTGTGCAATCTCTCTCTACAGTACTAATGGAAGTACTGCTGGCAAAGCCTAAAAATTATCAACAAATATTCCACTGTCTGACTAAGGCGTCCCTTAGCTAGTATGGTCTTAATTTAAGGTGAGGTATGCTTTTCAGCAAAGATTTATCAAGGTTTTATTAAGAGTTTGATTTATTGTAAAAGTGTTATGTGTCTTTATTAGCGATAATATTTCTGTTACAAGGTTGTTATTATAATATTATTGTTATTGTATCATGAACATGATGATTCTCACTTGGTCTAAAACCAAGCCTATTTATACCTCTTGAGGCATTACAAATAACATGACCTTTACAATATTTTGTCCAATAATATATGCTTATTAATCCTATTTTCTGTAATACTAGCTTACTAATCGTTAATTACTAATGCTATGACTCATAATGACTAATCCTGTGAGTCACTATTACAAATAAATAATTATGTCATAAAATAAGTTAAAAATAGAAATGATGTAATGTGTAACACGACGCAGTATGTGGCGTAGTTGTTACACAAAATATTAAGATAAAAATAGAAAATGATGTCATTATCACGTGGCTGCCGCAATAAGTTGGTTCCGATTGATCGACGTGCTCGGGACTTCTTCAGCCCTCATTTACAATCTCACAACACTAGATATTTGGTTTTTTATAAAAATTTTTTTATATGGATGGCTCGGTCTAAAGACCTCCAATTGCTGCGCCACGTGGACAAATTTCAAAAATAGCGGTTTCGTGATTCGTTCAAAAATGCAATAAAATTTTTTAAAAAAAGGGTTTCACGTGATTTTGGATAAAAAATTATTTTCCTTACTGCCAAATTTAGATATGATGTTCGAGTATTAGTCTAAATTTAGTAAGGATGATCGAAAAATAGTCTAAATTTAGCAATGATCTTAGTGGTCAAATTCAGCAAGCATAGTAAAATACATGTTTTAAAAAAGAATAGAACTCTACAACAAAGAATTTTTTTGAGAAAATCTTGTTATTTACATTAAAACTAAAGACCTATTCTATCAACTAATAATGCCATTTTTTTAAAATGTAGGACAGATAATGACTTCTATATTTTTAAAATTTGCTCAAAATTTAGGAGGTCTTTAGACCAAGCCAACTATAAAGAATTAATTAATGAAAATTCGACCATTTCACCAAAATTTATTTTTAAATTTTTGCCCTACCAAAAATTCGGCCGTTTCACCAAAATTTGTTATGATAAATTTTTGGGGTTCAAAACAATCAATTTTTGTGTAACAAATTTTCAGGAGTCATTTTCTCAAAATAATTTAATATGACTTAAGCTACCTTTTGCTAGAAAACCCCCCATATATTAAAACATATGTGTAACCAAATTTATAAGGGTTGTTACTAAAAATAGATTTTTTGTCTGAAATAGTGATCACAATCATCATATTCATGAATATTCATTAAGGGGGTTATACTTATCAAAATCAAGTGATTGGACACATAATTTTAAGGGATTTTTGGATTTTTGATAAGTGTAACCCCCTTAATGAATATTCATGAATATGATGATTGTGATCACTAGTCTGGAAGGTTGATTATTATTAGGAGTGTTCAAAGTTGTTCCGTTCCTGTTCCTGTTCCTTGTTGTACAATACCTTATTAGGTAATGGAAATAAGGATCAACTTTGAGCAGAAATTTCCTAGTTGTCACCATAACTTCTATATTTGGGACTGAACTACATGCATTTTTTTAAAAAATATGTCAACTTATGAAAGAATTGAAGAGGCATTGTTTCTAAATCTATTTCAAGAAATAACTGAATTGGATGAATTTGATGAAAGTTTTGTTGTTACACATCATTATTATTAGTAGAAGTTACTGAA